ATGGAACAAAACTCTCTCTCTCTCTCTCTCTCTCTCTCTCTCTCTCTCTCTCTCTCTCTCTCTCTCTCTCTCTCCCCCCCCCCCTCTCTCTCTCTCTCTTGTGTTCGCAGCCTTAAGGCTGGGGTCTAGTGGGGTTCCGCGTGTGTGTCAAGGTGTCGCATTTTCGACGGTGGGCGACCAAGACGCAAAGTGGGTTGTTAAGGAGGGGGGGAAATTGGGGGACCAGTCCTTGACGAAATTGCAGACTACCTACAGCTAGCTCGGGTAGAACCGGGACTTTTGGAAAACGGAAGGACCGATCCTCGGGTGGAAGTGGACCCCAAAAAGAAGTGGGGGGTGTTGGACCGGTCCCCGGGTAGAAGCGGATCCCAAAAAGAAGTGAGGGCACGTGAACTGCAAAAAGGCCCTCAGGCCCATGCATTGAGCCTCGTCTTGTCAAAACAGGGAGGTCAGGCAAAACGAAATAGGCGTTTTGCAATAGTCAACTTTGCTGATTTTTTGTGCTCGGACGAACATGCACAAAAATCTGAAATTTTGAGAATCATAGATAAGGTCGTGTTATTTCCAGAAATAATAATAGAACATTTACAAAAACTCATTTACACTGCGAAATAATTGTCGCGTCGATTGGACACATTTTTCATTTTTGCCACTCAGCCATGCCTGGGCCAACTAAAAAAGTACTCCAAATTCAGTGAGCTTTCACGAGCTGAAGAATGCGTGAAAAAACCTGAAAATTGGAGTACTCGTAGATTTTGTTGTGATCTTTCCAGGAAAAACGCTAAATAAATTTTAAAAAATCATTCCAACTGCAAAATAGATCGCGGCCGCAATGACCCATATTTCAATTTTGTCATTCAGTCTCTCTCTCTCTCCCTCTCTCTCTCTCTCTCTCTCTTGTCTTAGCTCTTAGTCTCATTGATTTGGCTACCTTAGGGCTGCGTTCCCTGCGCCGATGCGGTAGACAATTGATTTTGACACAAGACACACAATTCCGTCCTTTCCCCTTATAACTCCCGCTCTCTCCTTCACTCGCTCATGTGCGCTGGATTGCGCACACAATCGTTTTTGTATGCATGGTGTGTGTGTGTGTGTGCATGTGTGTGTGTGTGTGTGTGTGTGTGTGTGTGTGTGTGTGTGTGTGTGTGTGTGTGTG